ATAGTTGGGGTGATCAGTCAAATAAGATTTTCTTTCTTATTCTCTTTCTTATTTTAACCTTCTCAGTTTCTTTCCTCCTTCCTTTCATTCCTTTTCTCTGTTTTAATTCTTTATTATATTATACGTTATCTGTACATCTTGATAGACTTTACAACATCTAAATTTTCTATCTAACTATTCTATTCGCAATATCTTAATTTTACTCTTTATTTCCATTTCTTATATAACTTCATACTTTTCTGTTTTACATTTTATTCTAAGATTCCCATTTCAATACTTATGTCACCTTTTTGATTATGTTTACTTCATCATTCCACACTTTGTACCGGTTATTATTATTTATCTTTTATTCTTAATATTGTCATTATTCTAACAACTGCATTTTACTTTAATTTTTATGTTTCTCATACCTTGTTATCTCGTTTTTTTCTTAGCCCTGATGATGACCTGAATTTCAGGTCGAAACGTCGGCAAATGTTAAAATAAATATTATCATTTATTTTTATCTTCTTATTTGACTGATCACCCCAACTATTCTTCTCTTAATTATTCACGACAGTCAACCATTTACCAATTAATTAAAAAAAAAATACTTTAGAAATAATTATATCCATCCCAGAGGAATGTAATTGTTAATTTGGTTGTAAGGATAATTGCTTAGTAAGTAATTGAATCCCTAACCATCCCTAATGCAGGTATTCAGAAATTTTGGAGAGTTTACTATTTACAAATTTTGGAATATATTTTTTCCTAAACTTATCAGTACCCTATATAATTAAAAATCAAATATAAAAATATTCCGAAATTTATAAATAGTAAACTTCTCAAAATTTCTAAATTTTTGCAGTTGGCCATATTTGTAAAACAATAACCTAATATCCTCTCATTAAAAAAATAATAATTATATAAAAATGAATAATTAAAAAATATATATAATTAAAAAAATACTATAGAAATAATCCTATCTATCATAAAGGAATGTATTTTCTAATTTAGTAATAAGCATAATTGCCTAATAAGTAATTTTATACCTAACCATCCCTACTTTAGGTATTTAAAATTTTTGGAGAGTTTACTATTCATCAACTTCGGAATATTTATTTAGTTTTTATATTTCATTTTTCTTAAACTTTTCACGACAGTAAATAAGTATATTCTCTAAAATATTTAAATATCTGCAGTAAGCTATAGTGTAAACAAGTTGCAGAACATTATATCAATGATATAAATATCCTGTCATCAAACAATTAAACAAAAAAAAAGGCTACCAAGTAAGGTCAGTATAGCTTCCTTGCCGTTTTCATTGGCTAAAAAATATCTATACTACTAGGTCGAAAAATTTTCGTAGGATAATACAATTTTTGTGAAAAGCCGTTTTCAAAAATTCAGTTATCATTCAACATATAAGAGTTTGATATCCACGAGTTTTCTTCATCAGCGAATACTTAAATGCGAAAGAGTTCCGCATTTGCATATTGCATATTTGATGATTCTCGATTAGAAAACAGAACAGAGAAGCATAAAATGTAATTAGTATGATATGTTATATGTTATTAGTATAATTTCATATTATATTGTCCTCTGTTATTTTCCATCCTAGCATGCTGCTTATATCAGTTGCAGACTACAAACCGTCATCTTTAGCACAGATAGAACAAAAGTTGAAAACTTTTACATGCGAATACTTATGCACTAACAGAAGTGATATATACTTAAGAGGTATTTTCGCACTCGTAAAATGGATAGAACAAAAAATCCATAGGAAAAAATAAACTTTACATTTGTTTAGATTCAACGAGACAAATACTTTTCTGCAGTCAAAATAAAACTAATTAAGCTGGAATATAAATATATGCGTTAAGTTCCCAAAACTTTGATTTTTAAGTAGGAAATCAAAACCACGACGAGCTGGTTGAACTTCAATAGAAATAAACGCAAACAAAAGTAAGACTTTTTTTTTTAATTAGTAAAAATTAATTTAAATTTATTGAAAATTACACGAAATCTAAATAACGGTTTAAGTTTCATGCCAGTAATATTTCCCCCTTCATGTGATCAATGCCTTCCACTTTTCAGAGCCATTATATTGTTAAAAATTATTTATATTAATTTTAATTATTAAATGGAATTCAACGAAGTTGATACTAGGTAATTTCTATACTGTTCTCCAAATTTTCTGTAAGATTGGTAGAAATCGAACTCGCAGTTTTCAAACTATAACCCTGTCAAATAATACATTTCCTAATCTGAAAAGGGAGTTTTTTTTTTTTTTTTGAGCCTAATCGAACTGGCAATTTTAGAGATATAGACGTATCAAGGAAAACACGTTTGGGCATGTTTAAGATAAAGTAGAGAACAGATTTCAATAAAATTGACAATACATTATTTTTTTGCCGAATCTTACATTTTATTTAACTTTGAACAAAACCGAACGTTTCAGAAATATTAGCATATCTAAAAAATATGTTTGCGCATGCGTAAGCTAAAAAGCTGAAAGGAGTTTGATAAAATGCTTCGTAGACCATCTAGAGTTACGGAATGTACTTAATCCGTAACAGCTATTAATATTAACTTTTATTTAATTTAATCATTTAAATCATTCATTGACCTTTCTCATTATCTTTATCAAAGCCCCAGATAGCCAGGTCAAGCTATCTCTGATAGCTTAGAAATAGTTATCTAGAATGTACTGACTGGACAGAAGACACTTATCAAGACTTAGGGAACAATAACCCTTTTCAGCAAAAGAGCACTTCCTCACAGACTTCATATCAATTCTAAAAGATAAGGATATCAATTCTTAATAGTTATAACTTCATTCACACGCTTCCTAGACCGACCAGAATTGATTCATCCCCCCTACTATCCCTGAGCATATAACCCCTATTATATGATCCTCAGACCAACTCACTCATACAGTTGCATTCTTGAGTAAGACTCTTCACTAAAGGAGACCTGGAGTGAACTGATGTAGTCAACTCAAATATCCATATTGTATTACTATGTATTTTTAGATATCATTTGTAACATTATGAATAAAGACATTACTTCTAAAGTCTTCACTGCCTCCGATTCGTTAACTTAGGAATTAACTCGCAAAAGCTCTGAAAATAGAATAAACGGTAGTAGGTGATATATGCCCGTTACATCGATTTGACTACAGACAGACAGGCAGACACCGAACCAAATTTGATCCTTGATGTCAGAAATATAAAACACGAGTGGAAATTTTCGATTCGTTCGCAACATTTATTTTAACCTCTCGCACGAATACAATGCTTTCCTGCCTTCGATAGTGAGGAGGCAAAAAAAAAAAAAAATCCTAAAGTAATGTTAATGCTTACTTATTATTTTGCTGTTGTTCAATTTAATTTATTTTTATTTATTGGACATAAAGTGCTTATTAACTTTTCTATCAATATTACTTATGTTCTTAATTGTGACAATATGTAATATTGCTCAGTAAAAAAGCAATAATTCAAAAATTAAACATCATGGTAGATTTTTAGTGACAATTGAAATCCATATATTTAAACTTGGCCGGATTTTCGGGTTTCTTCCACTCCTAAAGGGAACTCAAGACAACTGAATATTGACAAGCAGCAATACATGGGACGAAGTAAGGGTAAAAATATGACAGATTGGCTCTTGATAAATCTTTCATATTTTGCTGAACCTTGTCATTGCCCCTATTATATAATCAATTACTTGTTATAACGTTGTATTCACGTCACCTGGCTATCCCAACGTGTCTTTAACGTGTGTTGAACTTCATTAATAATATATCTTCTAATAAGGTTTCTATGACATCATTCGACGCGTTCTTTTCCTTATAGCACGTGGTACCCCTTTTAGTCAAATTATTAATATCCGCCTGAAACTTCGTGAATATTTTTTTTTCATAATGTAATTAATTAGTTAATCGTAAATTAAATATTTTAATGATAAAACTCACTATAGCTAAGAATTGCCAAAAAAAACAAAAAAAAAACTGTAAGTTACAATGAGATGAAGGAAGCTATTTAATAAGTTTTAGGCGGATGCTAATGATTTGATAAAAAGGAGTTTGTAGTACGGACTATTAAACCAAAAAACTGTTAATGTATGACTAAAAAAAATTTAATAGATTAATTTTTACAACACAGTAAACCATTTTTGAAATAAATCATATATTCAATGATTTTTTTATTTATTTATTACTTTTGTTCGAATGGTCTTATATATTTTCATTATACTTACGCAAACGTCAAAAAATAAAAATAAAATAGGGATTTATAAGAAAATCTTTTTTGATTTTTATAAATTATATACTTAGTTATACAGGTACGAAATACGTTTAATTTTGTTTTTGCAACATAATTCTATCTCACGATAAACCAAACATCCTTATCTGTGTAAACATAATCTCTTTGTTCAAGTTGAATCAATAATAGGCTTACACACAATCCTGAATGATAAGTTTGTTGATGTTTTACATTTAAATAACATTAAATTCAAAATTTGTTTATTTGTTTTATATTTTGATTGACAATATATACATTAAGTACTCATCTTCAGCAATATTTAAAGGTTTGAAATAAAATGACTTTATCGATATGATATTGATGGAAAACAAGTATATTTTTCACGTGATATAAATAAATATATGTATATACCTATATTAATTTTAAAGTGTTAAAAATTCAACAAGAGAAAAGAAGTAGATGATTAGTTACAATAGGGAAAAATAAACTCCACACTCTCTAAAAGGCATCGAAAAATAAATTAACAAAGTTGTGCCTACTCAAGCATCATATATCATCATGGTGAAGTGATTTAATTTTTTCTTCCCTGATGATATCTCAACTGGCGAAACATTGATGGAATAATTTGCTCTTTAGAGACGAAAATCTGTTTGACTTTTCCAATTATAACACAATAAGTAGATATATATTGTTATTTAAACTAGTTAAATTACAATTTAAAAATACTAATAAAATTAATGTTATAATGAAACTTACATGAAATATAAAAATATACTCGATAGTGGGCATCTCTCTCCATGAAATATAAAAGTGCCATATTTTCTGGGAGTTAGCAATGACTACATGTTCCTTACTGTCAGTTTCCCTGCGAATAATCTATTATTATTGAAAAAGACTATTACTTATTATAAGTAAATAAATATGCTTAACTGATTATGAATCAGCATAACTCTCAATAATTTTGTATACTATTTCTAAATTAATTTGTAATTTTATTTATATTAACTGATACCATCCAGTTCAACACGTTAATAGAAAATAAAATCATTACAGAAATAACAAAAACTGTAAAATATAACTTTAATTGATATAATATTATAAGTAATACCATTACTATTATTCTGCCGTGAACTTACCACTGAAAGCAAAAAAAAAAAAAAAAAAAAAATAAGCGTTAGGAATTTAAGGTCAATTAATTATTTTTTTTTTAACTATCCAAAAATAAAATGACCTTTTCTCTGAATAAAAAGTTTATCAGACATTGCGTTCAGAATAAGATTAAACGAATGAAAAAGTTTTTTTTTTGTCTTTTTTTATATAATAACAATATTTTACATCTATATTTGATCTATCTATATCTTTAAAATGGGCCAACATTGTTGACACTAATTGATTCATTAAAAAACTGATAAATTTAAATATTTACCAGCCTTCTGCTGAATGTTGATAAACGCCTATTCATTGGTGAACATTAAACATCCATTAGAATTTGTTTGTCGAAGCATTTGACAGCAACCAAGTGTTTGTTTAAGGCTAATTTATTTGTAAAATTCCAGGCTTTACATTTCCTCGCCATTCTTATTTAGTAGTTGTTATCCTGAAAAACAGATAGTTTAATTTAAAATTTAAGACAAACTGAATGTGGAAGTAAATTTTGGTATAAGAATACACATTAACAATTTAAAACAAAAATACATGTATGTTTTAATTATAACAAATGTCCACTTTCAAGATAATACTTTATATATTGTAGAGTGGTTATGTGTCATTTTGATGACGCCTAAAATAAGAAAGCAATTTGAATGAAGATAATTCAATTAATTTATATAATTGAGATTAATGTACCTTTTTGTTTGAGATCAATATTGAACAACTCTTGTAGTTTTTCTCCGCACCATCAATTTTATTTACCTTTAATTAGTTATTTATTTATTGACTAATTGGTTTAGTACGACATTGCGTTATCTAAACATCTTCGTTTGTACCATTAATGTATTATACGTACCCTAATGCTTTTAGGAAATTTCGGTTAGCTCATTTTTTAAAATTAGGTTTTCAAGGAATTTCCAAGATCATGATTGATGATCACTACATTGAAGTAATACATGTTAAATGTTTTAACATAAGAACTAAATATTTTAGATTTTGGATACCTTATACACCATTGAGTTCCAATTCTTATACACCATGTTCTCGAATATGAATATCTGCCGAGACAAAAGTGTCTCGGGTGTTTATATTCTGAATATAAATTATAAATGATAATTAACATAATTTATATAATCATTTTAAAACGAACAATATATTACTATATATAAAAACAAAATTTCTTCTTATATTATTTTATGTTCAATAATTTACTTAAGGAAGAGTTAAAATTTTATCTAGGTATAATATATGATTTTTTTCTCTTCTGTATATGTTAATTAATTAATCACGCCCTAATGTGATTTCTTGAGAATATGACGATAAAATTTGACCAAGTGGTGTTGAAAATTGTTAAATGGAATTTAGAAAGAAAGAGAAATGTTTTCTAGCAAGCATTATAAAAATATGAGATAGAGGAGAAACATTAAGGAGTAAGAAGTGTCACTGAAGATGGATAAATAAATTAACACATACGGAAGAGCAAATTTTCATAAATTATACCTATTTAGTTTTTCGTATGGGTATATTTAAAAATATATTAACAAATAAATTGAATTTATTACATACTTTTATTTTTATTCAAATGATTAAGACAGTGGGTTGAACTCGTAAAAATGGAAGGGTGCACATGAATCAATAATAAAATTCTAGAATATTTTTCTACACACAATTATATGTATTGAATTTTGTTGACTTGACTTGAATTTTAGGACTTGGCTTAGCCATATAGCCAAGTTTATCTATATTCTTAATTGATTTTACTTTAAATATTTTAATATTTGTGTAGATTAATTGTTATTGTTGTTTATTATATTTGTATTCTTCAAAATATTGGGGGGAGGAAAACGATATTCACGCCTCCACGCTGTTTTTATTGGGAATCCCTCGAAATCTGCGATTTTGGCATAAGCTGAAACAATCATGGGCAATAGGCGAAAATAAATAAATAAAAGCTAATGATGAATAAAAATACATAAATAAATAAATTTCAAGTTAGTGCGGTATATCTTTCAAGTTTTCCTTACCACCCTATTCTCAGTAAAATTATTTTTCTATAATTAACAAAAATATTAAAGAAAGGCAATCGATATAAATAAATAAATATTCTGTAAACTAAATACATAATAATGAAATTAAAACAATAAGGTAGCAATATTGAGGGGATAAAATAACGTCAACACAACAGATTGGTCCCTTGGCTTGTTGTTAATTTAACCTAATGCTTATAGAAATATACATATTGCATCTATAATGTCTGCAAGATCAAATCAGTTTACAATTAAGGAGATAAATTGGAATATTTATCATGTTGGATTGGATTGTTTAAATACTTTCTAGCATCACTGTAAATATAAAACTTTAAAAAAATTCCTAGTGTTTTGAGTGCAATTAGAAAGTTGTCCAACGAAAGAAGTGTTTTTTTGATCCATCGAAATCTTCAGTAGCATGTAGTTTGGTATGTTTTCGATTTTGCTTACATACACGCACACTATTTTGTAATACACGAAGTCACTATTTCTTGCACCACGCTGAAATTCACTAAGGATGAAGAAAACTATTTTGTGAACATTTGATTTCGACAAATAATTTTTCGAAAGGGAATATAATTTTTTTCGAGTTAATAAAGTACTTGAAAATTCTTACTATTGTGCGCGGTCAAAGAAACCTAGACCAGTTATTTTCAGTATCTTTTACTTTCATTATGAGACAGAACAAAAAATGAACTTGACGAGCGAGATATCGATACAACTGTCATTTTTTTGAGATAGTATTGATATATAGAGAGGTTGAACGAAAGTAGTTTGACAATATAGGAAAAAAAATCTGGCGCGCGCAACACACAACTTTCACTTAGCGCTCAACTTTGAATAGAAATTATTTTCTGGCCATTTTGGACTATTACAAAATTTTTGAATTTCATTTTTAAGAGAGCTGAGGCTAAAAGCTTACAGCTAACAAATTATAAAAACCATTAAAATTACAAAAATCCTACCGGTTGATTGTGGATTGTACGAGTACAAGCTATTAACTGCTGTTTTCCATTGCAAAGTTTACTAAAATAGAAAATTGTATTTTATTTTTTACAATAAATTAGGCCAATTATCACCAACGTTTTATTGATACGCATTAATTTTGACGTTTCGACCATACTAAGGGTCATTTTCAGTCTGTCAGTCCCTCCAGAAATGACGTAGGCGAAACCCCTGTATAACATGACAAATTAATGTTCATTGAACATATTAATTACAACATCAATGATGAATATATAACGGAGAACTCATCAAGATTTGAAAATGACCCTTAGTATGGTCGAAACGTCAAAATTAATGCGTATCAATAAAATTTTGGTGATAATTGGGCTAATTTATTGTAAAAAATATAAAAACGTCAAGACACTAAAATTAGGAAAAATGAACAGAAGAGAAATTTGTATTGTCTGTCATAGACAGATCAAAAGTTGTAGCACTAATTGGAAGTGGATCCTGTTGGAATATCAAAATGGCAAAATTCATAAAATTATTCACTAATTTAAATTTCAAAAAGGTTACATACTGTTTTTTTCGGAATAAATGGACGATAGCTAGCTAATTATTTAAATATAATATCAGATCTAGAGTTATTAAACTAAAGTAAATATATTTAAGGTTATAAACATATCCATGAAATATTTTTATATTTCACTTTTTCTTTCACACAAGTACAAATATAAAGTGCCGCTTCTGGTTTGTAAATTTTATCGAAAAAGTTGCTGTCACATCCAAAGTATACACCTGTATTAAATACATAATATCAGTTTCGTACGACTTTACGTTTTTGAACTAGGCTGCTAACACACACGCAGACCATTTTTCGGGACTCGGTTATTTGGACTCGAGGGATCTCAAAACTCGTATTTCAGTTGAAAATATAGATTCGAAATCTTTCACTATCGCAATGTTTTCCCTTACTCTATATTACATATAGATATATAGAAGGGATATACATAAATGAAAGTAAAAAATAATGATATTATATTTTTAGATATTGCCTAGACACCGAAGGCGGTAAGTGAGTAAAGAACTTATAAGCTCAATATTTGTATAAACTATTAATTTCTTATTAAAAAGGAATTTCGGATATTAATTCATTGTATTTTTTTTTTTAGTGTTATGCATTTAAAATTAATGATTGAAATTCATATTGTATAAGAAACTGGGAATTGATTAATATATTTTTATTAAAAGCATACTAGGTGATTTAGTTACGGATCTCTACTCACGTATTCAATCATGTGAAGATAACAGCATTCTTCTATTCGACGGAATGAACCCCGCAAAGACAGCCTACGACTGATGTGACGCTGGTGTTGTTATGAATGATGAATGAAATTATATAATCTTCTGTATCATAGCCACTCGACCATGTTATCGGCTAATGTACACATCTCTATTAGTCGCCACAAGTATCTTAGTTTTGACGTTTTTTGCCCTAATTGGACTATGAAAAGAAGTTTTTATATCACTCTGCAGATTTAATAAAAAATAAAATAAATACCAAGCAGCCCTGTGAAGTGATCGCAAGATTATGTGAAGCTAAATGCATTAAAGGTATGTTCAGTTGGAAAGATCAGACATATTAAGTTTACATAAATAGTCCATTTTGTATCTAGATGAGATATATTCTTTTTTA